GAGGGGGTGCCAGAAGAACCACTACACCAAACCACCTTGATACAAATAAGGAAGTCCTTGAAAATGCTCTTGTCTTGAGGAGAGAAGCCAAACACAAGCTGCTCTGACTGAGAGACGGGAGACGATGTAGGGTTTCTCTGGGGATTCCCTTTCAGATTGAATAAACTATGAATATTCCAGTCACGTGCCTTTTAGCACTTTTTACACATCTCCTACATCTGTCAGTATGTAAATAAAGTGGATTTGGTTCAGTCCTGGTCCCACTTCAACTACAACCATTTCTATTTGAAAACCCGTCTTCCCTTCATTGATTCCCCGTTGAACGTCGTCAGACATCATGGCCTCATAAACCACTGGAGCTGACATGGGGCCCCACTCTCAGAATCCCATCAGCACAACACGGCACGAGGCCCTCAGGGACTCGTTTCATTATCAACTGTCTTCTTCAGCATCTCGGCCTCAGCAGCCAGATGAGCCGTCAGAAAGACACATGTTTCTGCGTAATACTCACAAAACACACACAATTACTTTATATTATTCTATTTAATTTTAGTACATTGTGGAAATGAATTCAAGGTATGTGTTCAATGCTGGTCACAAGCACAAATATTCAAGAGAATCTCTGCCAATCAGCTCCCAGCCTAAAAAGGCATTTAGTGACTCACATGGCTTTTTCTACGTCTTAGTATACTTAGTTTCTAAGTATGCACCGCCCACTAGCTGATGACTTGCACCAGCTTAATGCCAATCTGCCCAGGTATAAAAGACAACAGACCCAACAGAGCGCTGATGTCTGCGTCCAACACTGCAGCTGTTGTGTTTAGTATACATTTTGTTTGTTTATTATAATTATTAGTCTTGTCAAATAAATATAATGTTTAATAAATCTACCACCTCTCATATCATCTCTTATCGTTACATTGGTGCATAACCGGCTTATCAACATCACACGTTATTGACACTGGAAGTCTGCAATTGATCAAATATAAACTGTGTAAATTAACTCTTTTTTGTTAGACACTTGTTTACACACACTTGAACTAAATGAGTAATAACAATTGCTCGCACCATGAATGTCCAAAACATTACTGGAAATGACGCATTTCAGGAACATGTACGGCAGTGTTTTTAAAAAGCTTGTGACGACATAGAAGACTAAATCCCCACAAAACCCTTGCAGTGAAAACCGTAGATGACGACCGTCAGTTGAGAACGAGCCATTCTAGTTACATTGAGATCTATGGGAATATTTCCTGTACAGATTTGGTGAATTTAGGCTGCAGTATGTAAAGACTGGGGACTGGCTAAGGCTAGCAATACCCTACCCAGATAGTGTAATACATGGGTGCCCGCCAATGAATTATCTTGGCCCCCGGGATCATATTTGATTAGTATTAGAACTGATCGCACAGAACCATAAGAAAAGCTACAAGGTTGTTTTGATGCTACGGACTGGTCTGTGTTTCAGTCAGAGGACGTCAATGAATTCTGTGACGCTGTGTCTGGATACATACGCTTCTGTATTGACGGAAGGTCATTAAAGAATATTTTAGTCAAAACCCTTGGATGAACGCGGAAGTGAAACTGAAACTTCATGTGCGTTGGCATTTCAATCAAATGATACAGTTGCTTATAAGCTATCCTGTTACTCATTGAAACGTTCTATTAAATCTGCAAAGCGCAGTTACGGGGACAGGTTAAAGAGTTATTTTGAGGAAGATGACCCTCGGCGCATGTGGAATGGTATTAAAGCCATCACATCGTGGAAACCTAGTGCTGGGAAAATTGCATCAGTTGGCCAAGCTCTGCCAAACGAGCTGAACACGTTCTACTGTCGCTTTGAATCCGCTGATGCCTGTCCTACTGTATTCCCTGAGCGTTTCAATCAAGGTACCTTCACCGTGACTCAGGAGGAAGTCAGGCGTGTCTTGTCCAGGACCACAGTCCGGAAAGCCCCAGGCCCGGACGGCATCCCTCCTCGTGTCCTGAAACTGTGCTCTGAGCAACTTGCCCCTGTGCTAACAGACATTTTCAACCTGTCGCTAAGGAACTGTACTGTGCCGAACTGCTTTAAAGAGTCGACCATCATTCCAGTTCCTAAGAAAACCCCTGTGACATGCCTGAATGACTATCGTCCTGTGGCCCTCACGTCTGTTCTTATGAAAACTTTTGAGCGGCTTGTGCTGGACTTCATTAAGAGCCAGATCCCTGTGAGCGTTGACCCGCTCCAGTTTGCTTACAGACAGAACAGGAGTGTGGAGGATGCCATCTCCTTTGCTCTGAACTCTGTCTACAGTCACTTGGACACTAGTAAATCTGTGGCGAGAATGCTTTTCATCGATTATAGCTCTGCTTTTAACTGCCTTGTCCCAGGTAAACTGATTGAAAAGCTCATGTCTCTCGGTTTAAGTTTTGCCATGTGTAAATGGATTTTTAGCTTTTTAACTGACAGATCTCAGAGAGTGAAAATCAACGGCTGTTTTTCTGATGTTGTTTCTGTGAGCACTGGTTCTCCTCAGGGATGTATTTTGAGTCCTTTGCTTTTTACTTTGTACACTCACGATTGTGTGTCCTCCTCTGACTCAAACTTGATCATCAAATATGCTGATGACACCACCATCATCGGTCTCATCAGTGACAATGATGAATCCTCTTATAGAGCAGAGATACAAAATGTGGTTCAGTGGAGTAAAACTAACAACCTCCAGTTGAACGCATCCAAAACATGTGAACTGGTCTACGACTTCAGTCGCAATAGTTCTCATTTGCCTGTCGTAATCGACAACTCCCGAGTGCAGATCGTAGAGGAGTGCAAGTTTCCGGGTTTAACTCTGTCTAACAACCTGAAATGGGTTAAAAACACTGACCGAGTCGTTAAGAAAGCTCGTCAGCGTCTCTACTTTCTGCGTAAACTTAGAGAATTTACCACTAACTCTAAGATTCTGCTTAACTTTTATCGCTGCACCATTGAGAGTTTACTTGTTGGTTCTGTGTAGAGCCCTGCACGGGCCTATTATCTGAGCCCGAGCCCGGCCCTGGCCCGAGGGGGTGGCGCCCCAGCCCGGCCCGGCCCGATATGGTTTCTCAATTTTCAGGCCCAAAACCCGCATCAAGCCCGCCTTTTTTTTTTTTTTTTGTAACCTCCCATAACAATGTTTTAGCGTAGTATATGGTGCCGCGCACTGATATAAACGCAGACTTAGCTAGAGGGCGGAGTTATACATGGTAGTGATGTGTTGCAATGAGTTCTGTGTGTGCGGAGTGGTGCAGAGTGAACGGCCGCATCTGTATGATGCCCAGATGCTGCAACACACCTGTAAGTAACGCTATGTGCCGTCAATGACAACACTACACAGAACAACAAACACTACAGCGTGATAGAACGCTATATTCAGTGGGTGCGTTCGTAAATGTATTCTGCCGCTCTGAAAATGAAGAGCCCGAGCCCGGCCCGTGTCCGAGGTCATTATGCGGTCATCGGCCCGAAGCCCGGCTCTCGGGCTGTCGGGCCGTCGGGGCCCTCGGGCCAAGGGCTCAAGTGCAGGGCTCTAGTTCTGTGTCTGTGTGGTTTGGAAACATCACAGATAAAGAAAAGAGAGCTTTAAACAAGGTGCTCCGCTCTGCTAAGAGGACCGTGGGCTGTGAGCTTCCTGTTCTGGAGGTTCTATATAAATCCAGACTTTTAAACAAAGCTCTTAGGATTGTCAATGACTCTTCTGGCCACCCTGGGAAAGCCATGTTCCAGCTTCTTCCCTCTGGCAGAAGATATCGCTCTCTGAGATGCAGGACATCTCGTTGCGCTAACAGTTTTTATCCACAAGCTGTTATCTGTGTGAACAGAGCACTTTAATGATTTGCACTTGTTTTGAAACTGTTTTAGTCGATCGATTTCACAGTGACATTTGTTTACTGTTTTATTTTTGTCTTTTAATGTTGTTTTATGTCTGTATTTGTCTGTGCACACTGGAGATTTTTGCTAATGTATTCCTATGTGGTGTTTTTACTGCAAATGGCAAATAAACTGAATCTGAATCTGAAAATATTGTATTATTAATTTAATTTTCAAGAAGTGTTGTGTGATGCGTTTTCTCTTTGAAGCAAGTTTGTTTTTGTTTGTAAGACTGTTAAAATGTTTTCCCATGATAATTCATTTAGTCATTAAATAAAATACAGTATGTACACTCTGCTAGGTCTTGGTTCAATAGGTTATATGCAATAGTTTTAATATATTTAAAAAAAACATTGAAGCAGTCCGGCCCTCGGCTTGTAGCAAATGTGTTTTTTTGGCCTCTGATGTATTTGACTTTGACATCCCTGGTGTAATACATTCATGGGTATTCAATTTGATTCAATTCAAATAACTTTATTCATCCAGACGGAGCACCAGTTGGGGTTAAACAGAGAAACATACGATCTAAGTATAAATACAGTAAAAGAGCAGAAATGCAATATCAAATACATAAAAACAGGTCTCCAGATCAGCTGTTTAAAAGGCGAATTGAGGTGGGAGGAAGCTGGATGTGGCCCTTTTTGTTTTAAATGGGCGGGACGGTCGGGACCTGAACCTACGCTCTGATGGGAGCAGACTGTAGTGAGAGTGCAGAGTGTGGGAGCTGTCTGTGGAGATCTGGGCCTTTCCTTAAAACTTTGTTATTGTAAATGGCTGTGAGTGACTCTTAGAGCTGTCCAATGATTTTGCTGCTGATTTTAATGATCTTATTGAGTGAATTCCAATGTATAAGACTGAGTGAACCAACCAAGCTGTAATGTTGAAAGTGAGAATTGATTCAATGAAGCATTTGTAGAGAATGGAGAGAATGGATTTGTGAACCTGAAGTATAACATAAATTGGTACAATGAGGTTGTGTAGGCAGTAACCAGCCAAAATGATTTTTTTACCAATGACTTTGAAATGGGATAATTGAATTAGCAAACTAATAGTGGGTGTGCGGTAGTGGCCAGAGGGAAGTGCAATGATGTCTCTGTGCAGGAGAATAAAGATGCAGAAACCTCTGAAAACATCATTCTCTCTGTCCAAGCTGTGGAATGGGTCTTACCTTTTTCTGTTCCTCCAGTCCGAGCACGGCTCTCTTCCTCTTCTGAGCTCCAGCCATTTGTCCACGTGTCACGATAAATCCACCATAGTCCGATCCAATTCCACAAGAAACCCGGTCTACACCAGGTCCACCATGGTCCAGCCGAGTCCAGCATCAGGACTGATGAGTGAATGGCAAAGGAAGAGCAGAGAACCCAAAGGAGCACGCCGGGAGAGACCTGGAGGGGGCGCTACTGAAGAGGAGAGGAGCCATGACCCTGCTGCTGATCCTGCTGCTGATGCCGCTGCTCATGCCGCTGCTGCTGCCGCTGCTGGTGCCTTCAACACAGACCTGGACAAAGCACAAAACAGGTTTGGACAAGTCTTAGTCTTGGTTCTGTTTCAAAACTACCAGAACCCAAAACAGGAAAGCATGTAACAGTATTACTGGCAAACGGTAATTGTGAGAAGGAAAAGGAGTGGGCTGAGTGATTCAGAGGAGCAGGTGAGCACTGAGCTGAAGGGTTTTGAAGAAACCATCAGTATCTTCAACAGGAGCTGGTTACAAGAAGTAGACTGAGGAAGAGAAACATGTATAGAGACAGGTTTGCTGTGAGGAAACAGACTGTGGCTGGAATGAGCTGTGTGCCTCCTTCAGGTGGGACCAACATATATTGTAGAGGCAAAAGGAAGGTTGGAGTGTCACGAACGGTTCAGTCCTGTTTCAGTCCCTGATTCAGTTCTAGTTCAGTCCTGGTTCAAGATTTAGACTTCATTAGACCTGGGTTAGTGCATATATTAATACATTGAAATACAACCAACATTTTACTGAACCGTGTCTGAATAAAAAATATCAAAATCAATACTGTGAAACCAGGTGAGCGCCGGACTGACCACACATGACTCCACATGGTCATTTGATAGATATGTTGAAAATTACAGCAGGCCTGACCTGTGAATAAAAACAGGGTGAGGAGCCAATACAAACATTAAAAAGACAAATTCAAAACTAAACTAACCCTAATAGGATTAATTAATACATACTCTGCCTAACACTCTTGTACATCCTTATTGCATGTTTTGTCTAATGCTACAGTATTGATCTAAAATATCTTTACAACTAAAAATAAGTTTTAAGTAACGTTATCCTTTATCGTCCCCATAAGGAAATGTGTATTTGGGCCTCAGTCAAAAGCAGTGGTTGCCGTAGTAACAGGGTCCCATCTCCAAATGCTGATGCTCGGCTTGGTCAGGCCCTACTTGGTGAGAGGCGAGAATGCTAACCACTCTGCCACCGTGTCTCACATCTGGACTAAACCAGGAATTAGATTAAAACCAGAACAGGCACATACTTGTGAGAATGTTAAGTACTAATTTAACATTTAGTCTTGGTTCGGTCTGTTTCAGAGGATCCAAACCAGGTGGAGTCCATACGCTTGCCCCTTGTTAAAGTCCTTTATGACCCGTAAAGTGAAATAAGTCCTTTTTAGACCCTGTTTTAGAGAATGTTTGTGTTCTGCCTTGTTAAATGTGTCTTGAGAAACTACAGCATTATCGTCACAGATGTCACTACATTCTGTCTCGTTGAAATCCGTTATATTGTCTTATACATGATAAAACAGGTCTAAACTGGAACAGGTCTAGGGCAGGACTAAGGCAGGTCTAAAGCAAGCTCAACGAAGTTGTATAAAGCAGGTCTAAAGTGGAACTAAACCAGGACTTAACCAGGTCTATAGCAGGTCTAGAGCAGGTAGAAAACAGGTCTAAAGCAGGTCTAAAGCAGGAATAAAGCAGGAATAAGCCAAGAATAAACCAGGGCTAATACAGGTCTAATAAGGCAGGACTAAAGCAAGCCTTACTGAGGTCAAACCCAGGAATAGATAAGGTCCAAGGCAGGTCTAAAGCAGTTCTAAAGCAGTTCTAAAGCAGGACTAAGGAAAACAAAGCCTTAGAAAAGGTCTAAAGCAAGTCTAAAGCAGGACTGAGGCCGCCCTATGGCAGGTCTAAGGCAGGTCTAAAGCAAGCTTTACGGAGGTCTAAACCAGGTCTAAAGCATTCTCGAGCAGGAATAAACCAGGTCTAGAGCAGGTCTAAAGCAGGTCTAAAGCAGGACGAAGGCAGGTCTAAAGCAGGCCTTACAAAGGTCTTGACAAGGTTTAAAGATGCTCTAAACCGGGTCCAAAGCAGGTCTAAACCGGGTCTAAAGCAGGTCCAAAGCAGAACTAAACCAGGTATAATGCAGGTCTAAAGCGACCCTTACGAAGGTCTGACAGGTCTAAACCGAGTCTAGAGCAGGTCGAGAGCAAGTCTAAAGCAGGTCTAAAGCCAGTCTAAAGAGGTCCAAGGCAGGTCTAGAGCAGGTCTAAAGCGGGCTCACCTCCCCACAGCTCCTCGCTGGTACGTGCTTGTCTCGTGCGCCTCCCCAGACTCAGCACCATTAAGAGGCGTTCAGGGACCAAAGGAAAGCAGGAAAAAACACGGTCTTGAAGGGGAACCGAGACATCAGTGACATTTAAGTTTCAGGATAATATGAAAATGTCACAGCGGACTAATTGCTTACTTTGAAAAGCAGTAATTAATTACTATAAATACTATTATTATATAATGATTGTGTAAGTATGAACAGGGAGAAAGTATATTCAATCGAAAGACTGTCAAATATTTATTTTGCCAACGTCAAACATTTCAGTTTTATATTTTTTAGAAGTAAACGCTTAAAAACAGCCCGTTTTGATAAATATTAGGATCAGGGTCAATGAAGGCATCATGACGCAGCTCCCCGCGCCCTGCTCGCCCATCGATCAAAAGCAAGGAATATATAAATTTATCTTATTTCATTTATTTATTTATTAAAGGGACAGTGCATATTAAAATACATTATGCATGTAAATATGCCAGAATTAGCCAAAAGGCTATTTTTCATCTGTAGTCCCTGGACAGTTGTTTAAGTGTCCTCCTGAAAGGGAATAAAATTAAACATATCACAAACAGATAAAACATAACATAACACAGTAAAATGTATACAAGCAATACCCTCAATAACACAAATCAAACATATAGACATGAACACACAACTGTTACACACTCAACAAAAAATGAAGACAAGTCAGGCTCACAGACAAAGAACAAGAGGCCAACAGGGGGCAGAGGTGAGGAGTCAGTGCTGACAGCTTTGATTATGAATGAGCCATTTTTTTACCTGTATTTTGAATGTTTCATATGTATTGGTGTTCCTAATTGTTGTGGGGGTGAGATTCCATTCATGGGCGGCTTTGACAGAATATGTTGATTGACCAAAGAGGCTTTTTCTCAGAGGGATGATGCAGTTGCCTCTTGCTGCTGCTGGTTCTCCTGAGTTCTGCTGTATTGATGTGAATGAACTGTGTGAGTGGGGGTGATGACAAACCATGAATTATTTTATAGGTGAGGCAGAGATGTGAGTATTTGACCATGTTTTCCCAACTGAGTAAACTGAATAGTGAGATATTCCCATATCTTCTGTCTCTTTCTCATCCCTCTGGTCTCTCTCTCTCATCCCTCTGGTCTCTTTCTCTCTCATCCCTCTGGTCTCTCTCTCTCTCAACCCTCGGTCTCTCTCTCTCTCTCATCCCTCTGGTCTCTCTCTCTTCCTCTCATATTGTGCCTTCTTCCCAAAAAAGTGTATATTTGATTAATTATTATCTAATGTCTTTACTGCAAAAATCCAATTTTACATTCATTTGTGAAGAAAATAATTACTCTTCTTCTCATCTTAAAGCTGCAAAGACCCTGGAATCCTTCAAACTATTAAACTTATTTAAAAAGAACAATAAAAAGAATTGCAGTTTATCTACCTGCTCCACAAATCTGGTGACTACAGTTGCGTCAAAGCAGGAGCTCCTAAAAGGGCTGATTCTGATCCCAGAGGCAAGTCTGTTAGTATGCTGTGTGTTTGTTGCTGCTACTGGAACATTTAATCCTTGTGCTATCTCGGGTCAAAATGACCCGCCACTGATGATTAAAAGTAAAAGAAAAATACCCTAAATCACAGCCTAAAAGGGTCAGGGCTGGTCAAGTTAGAAAAAAATTAACCCATATTCAGTGCAATTATTATTATTATTTTTTTAAGAGTTTTATTCACTGTGGCAGGTCAATTCGACCCAAGACATTTATTGTAATTTCTGGACAGTGGTTATCCATATGAACCAATGTGCGTTTGTTAATGTTAATAGCGACAGTTGACACATGTGATCCCACATTGCAAAATGTGACATTATTGCACATGTGTTTCATCCTCATGCTTCTCTCTATTTCTACTGATCTTTTATTTTTTATTTATTCATTTGTTTGGAGGATAAACCCTTAGAGATTAATCATCTCGTTTTTGAGGGGGTTCTCAAAATTGCACAAAATGACAGATGCAGTAAGGCAGACAGTAGAACAACAGAACTCATGGTGAATTATACAAAAACAAAAGACAAAGGAGACACACACACACACTGATTGTTTTGAATATAATGTCTATTATAATTAACCGTGATTACAGCTAGTATCTATAGAAGTGCATATATAATTTAGATTCATAATCTATGCTCAATAACACTGGCATGGGTTCTGGAGGTGTTGTACCAGAGCATTTTAAACAGAGGCAGAGAAGTGAGAGAACGGATATTTAAAGGTAAACAGTTCCAGTCAGAGGAAGCTTTAAATTTAAATAAATGTTTTCCGACTTCTTTCTTGATTCTAGTTACTACCAAGAAACATTGGTTTGCATGGCGCAAACTGTAAGAAGATCGGAGAGGAATCACATATCGTCTTAAACAGTCGGGAAAATTAAAATTAGTGCTGTCCAAAATATTGCGTTATTAACGCGTTAACGCAAATCAATATTAACGGCGTCATTTTTTTTATCGTGCAGACAAACACATATACAGAAAAAAAAATAGAAACAAAGAAAAGGACTAGTTCAGATACGTTGTAGACAGAGATTACAAACAATATGTAGTTGGAGATACAGGGGGCCAAAGAAGAAACCCAGAAGGGCACATAGGGGGGGGGGGGGGGGGGGGGGGGACATGAAGTGGGAGATGGGGGGGAGGGGTTAATAAAAAAGGCAATACAAGCAAACAGTATACAGTCATAGATATACCGAAAGTAAACAGAGAAACAGCATAGAGTATTTACATGAACAAATTTACAAAATATTTACAGATTGTTTATCATCATCATAATGACACCATGATGTTTCTATACAGTCTATGGTCTATACCCACACATACACACACACACCCACACCCATAAACACACACACTCCACACACACACACACATACACCCCACAGATAAGATAAGATATAAAGTCTGCCCACCTGAGTTTCACCAAGCTAAGCGGAACCCAGTCAACATCAAAACCAAATCCGACACACACACAGACCCCTAAGCAGGCCCCCACCCCAAAAAGAGGGGGAGGGAGCCCACGCCCGGCCCATTCCCTCTCTTATTTTGTTCTTTTTTCCCCAAGTGTTTTTCTTAACTAAACGTGTCATGCATTAAAATAAGCTTTCGCTTACCCTGACTTGTGTATTATCATTATATGCACATATGCACATATTATTCATGTTATTATTATATTTATCTACTTATTCATTCATTTGTTATACTATTGTATTATTATTATTAATTTTATTTTATTATTTTTATTTTATTTTAATTAATTCAAGGGACATAGGGAATAGATACAAATGTGTGACTAATTTGCGATTAATCGCGAGTTAACTATGAAATTCATGCGATTAATCACGATTAAATATTTTAATCGTTGGACAGCACTAATTAAAATTGATACATTTCAAAATAAACAGCAGCCAGTGAAGCTGACGTCTGGAGGACAGAGAGAGCCACGACAACTGCTCGTACAGCAGACAGTGGTGGTTATCTGGTGGTTATCCCCACTGCTGTCAGACTGTACAACAAGCCACTTTAAGTCACTCCATTAATACTGAAAAAACCTGCACTACTATTGACACCGTTCCTGATTGCCATTTTTTAAATTGCCACTTTTTATTGTACATAATATATCCTGCATTTAACATGTTTGCACATTTCTTTCTTTTTGCACAATCTTGAGTGTTTCTATCCATGCCAGATGTGACGTGTAAATTTCTCCTTTGTGAGATCAATAAAGTATATCTTATCTTGTCCTAAAGGGACAGCGGAGAATGAACCTGCACAGGCTGTTGTATGTGTTCAGAGGATGGAAGATGGAGGCAGAAGTGTTTTGATAAATTATGTCACTGTAATCAAGAATGGGAAGAATCAACTGTGAAATTATTATTTTCCTAACTGAAAAACTGAAGCAATTAATTCATTGATAAAGCAATGTTAGACGATATGACATTTTGTTTGAGATTGTCTGTATGTGTAAGTAATGAATCAAGCCATAAATCAAGGTATTTAATTGATCAACAATTGGGAGTAATCCCCTTCACATGTCTGTTGTACTATTATAGTATATTGAATATATTACAGTATTAATAATGTACTGAAGTGGTAATTTGGAACGTATCCAATGAAATGAAAGGTTTTTTTTTTTTTTAATCAGAAACATTAGTTACTACTGTTTCACACAACTAAAACTTGCTAAATTAAAGCTGGGGAACCTAAAATTTTCCTTGCATTAATAATGCATGTTGGTTGTGCCCAATTGTAATCCCAGATCATTCTTTCCACCTTCTCAGGAAATTACGCTGCTAATTGGCCTGTACAGCTGTGTTCATACTCAGTTATTGTTGTTTGTCTTGGTCCGAAGGGGACCAAGACAGACCAGTCCACATTGAGTGTAGGTCCTTGGTTCGGACCGGCTCCGATCACGTTATGTTGGCTTGTTGGCTTGATGAGATTACATCGCCTAGGTAGTTTACCACTAGTAAAGTCCTGTAAATGGGCGAAGCCTTAATGCTGTAGAAATCTAAGTTACCTCATGTTACTGTAATTCTACAACTTTACCTGTGGGGCTTGTCAGTCCTGCTCTTGCCCTGGTGGAGTTCGAGGGAAAAGGCCCCTGGCTATTTATAATGGCTGCTGGCCTGTTATTGGCGCTTTGAATCTAAGATCCTCTCAGGCCTGAGTGATCTGCCTCTTGAAAATCCTTGTAAGCTACAGATACAATAGGTAACTTGGATATCTTAGCATTTTGATCAGAAGTGTATCCACTATTACATCCACAAGATGGCCGCCGCATTCGCCCCATGGATGACCCAGTGATCCCCTCTCACTCTAGTACTATTTACCACGCAGACCGCGCCCCTTTTGAATGTATTCCGCCAAACTTTACCAAAAATCTTTGCAAACTTATGCCGCTCTGTCTGCCTGCTACTTTTACAACCCTCTGCTGTGGTCTGTCTGTCCTCACTTTAGGGGAATCTTCATTCTGTGGATTTGTACAGATTTTAAAACGGATTTAACCCTTTGATCTGAGGACGTCGCTGCCATTTCACCGCGCATTTAGAGGCATTTCAACTTATGGGGTAAGTTTATCAACTAATGCCAGTTACATGTTGCTTTGCATTATTAGGATAGACTGCAGTAATAGTGGTATTGCAGTAATATTTAGACATGATCGACCTTAGGGTTCACAATATTAAAGAAACGCCGGTTTTAGCCCCCATTCGTCATTGATTCCACTTGTGAATACGAAAACTCGGCTCTGGATATGTCTTTGTTTATAAAGCCATCACATGAATGTTTAGACTCATTATAGTTGTTACGTCTCCATAACCTTGCATTCATGTTTGCCTCTTCAGCTCGTGACTAAGCAGTCGTGTCCTTCGGGTAGTGGACACGTTCCCTCGTTTTTGGTGAAGATTTTTAATATTTCTGTTTCTAAAGCTTAACGTTTGTTTAAAATAAGATTAAACATCAGCGATGTGGCCCACTATCTGATGGGCGTTATTATAACGGTATAATGGTAAACATTTGCAGTCTTTTCGCAGTCATACATAACTTTAACGAGCTCAACTTTATCCTGCACGTACGTTATTCTGGTTTGTGTCCAACCTGCAAATTTCCGTGGTTTAAACGGGATAAATAAGAATATGTTATGAAAGTTCCGCGCCAAGGATTTGAAAAGTGTTTACCAGCGCGGGACTCTGGTCTCACTTCCGGGGCGCCAGCACAGAACGCGCGCTGATTGGCCAGATGCAATGTAAATAGGCGGGACTAATTGTCGACTGTGCGTTGTAATTCGTCAAAAAGACGGAAAGGCGGGTCATGTGGCCAGTTGAGCGCGCTGATTCGACACAGCGTCCGTCTTTAACTGCCAAATATTAGAAATAATACAAATATTCACATTTGAATGTAATGCATTCTTTTGTCTACGGTGGATTTTACTCAAGTTTAGAGCTCTTCAACGAAAATATGTTTTAACACATTTTCGTTTGAATACAGTGCAGTGATAACCAATAGTAAAAAACATAGATTTGCAAAAAACAATTAATTCGATTTTTATATATTAGATGTATTCTTTTATTTTTTTATACATATATACTATCCCTCTATATATATATAAATGTTATATACTTGTTCCTCCTATTATGAAGCATTTATAGCAACTACTACTAAGGTGGGAGAAATAAATATTCTTATCTTATCTACAGTGTAGGACCTACACTGTAGATAAGATAAGAATATTTATTTCTCCCACAGTGGGGAAATGTCTGTGTTGCAGTGCACATAACAAGACCTTATAGTAGTAGTTGCTATAAATGCTTCATAATAGGACATTGGGACAATCACTGTGTTACATTACACATGAATGATCCCAGTGTGAGAGCTCAGGGTGTGGTGCAGTTTCACCGTTTTGGGAACTTGTGTGCTTACAACATAGTTTCATTCAAGATCCATCAAACAATGGACCAAACGGTAGGACTTGTTTTGGAAATGTGGATTTAGTTAACACTGTCACTTACACCATTTCTCAGGGGTGTAAAAGGGGGCGTGTGTGTGTGTGTCTGCCTGCATGTTTGACACCCCGTTCTACGGTATTTGTCTGAAAAGTACATGTTTCTTGGGTTTTTCTTAGGATCCCTCTGTGTTAGAGCGTTGGCTTGTTTAGATGTCAAACCATGGGGCCACTGACCACTCCTGAGAAAGGCGTCGAGGGCCACTGTGTGGACCCCTGGACCCCCACCTCCAACCTGAAGATCCTAATCAGTGCAGCCAGCCCTGACATCCGTAACCGTGAGATAGAGCGTAGCCTGGAGGAGGCCGAAGTCTACTGCAGAGAGGTATACTACACCGTCCCTTTGTCTTAGTATGGGATAGCCCTGTTTTATCATTAGTCGCGTTCCCACTGCGGAAACTTTGGGGTAATCTTCCAGGGCCAGCCCCGTTGGTGCGTGTCTCCACTGCAGGACCCTCCTCCACAGGGCCATTTATAGGAACTTTCACGAGACCCAACAGAGTATCTCCTCCATGTGAAAAGCTCCTGGTGGGGCTTGAAGTTAACTCGGTGCTGATTGGCTAAAGCTAGAGCAGGCTCTGTCGCCATCAGAAAATACCAAAACAACCGGCAAATCCAGCAGCATTAGCCCAGCAGCATTAGCCTAGAAAACACCACTGGAAACCGCAAACAACAACAGCTAGATGTACAATAATTGGATAAATTCAACTCAGAAATTCAAAGGGGGTTTGAGGTATCACGGCAAAATGAAAAGATATATTAAGATATTAGCTTCACCTCAATGCACTGGGGATTCATCACACTCCAAAACAATGCAGTGAAATGTTTAAAAAAAATCTGAAGCAGGACTATAAAAAACTCAAAGACCACAACAAACGGAGCGGTTTCGACAGTAAAATAAATAATTATTGATTTTGCGGCGATCGAATCTCATGACGTCACCGAGGGTTCCTACTCTGCAGTGGAGACACAGCCACTGAGAGGACAGTTCCTGTAGATGTCCCACCCCCCCTCCTTTTACCAGGAACTCTTGCGGTGGAAACCCGACTTTTGACTGCCGTCTGGACTGATCAGCTGCTGCTGCTATAGTCCTTTGAACAATTAAACAGGTCTGCAGTGAAATAAAAGATGACTTCTAAAGAAATGCATCCGGCACCTCTGCCCTGTGTGTGAGACCTTGTGGATATTCTTTGTTCTAAAAGTCTATTTTTAGGTTTGATTCTAGACTTTTGTGCACATAAACCATGTATTTCAGTATTTCTACTTAAGTACAGTTGTACATGTCCAACTCCTCCAGGCTTCAGATGCTGAGTGCCTGGTGTTCTCTCATCCAGGTTTAAGACATTTTTGAAAACTCACCCAAGTCAGTTGTGTTTTGTTTTCAAATATTTTCTCAAAAATTGTCAGTGATGATTCAGGCAGACATTTCAGCTGGACTCTAGGAGCGCCACAGCCTCCTGCTCCTCTGACGTCCCCGCATTGTCTGTAATCGCAGTTTATGGCACTGATGCAGAGCCTAATCCGTGCTCTAAGGTTTCAACGGTAACACAGGAAGAACACATCTAAAAAGTCTTGCTCAATTTTTACTGGAATGTACAAAAAAAGCAGTTATTGGCTTTTTATATTAACCGCTCCTAATCTGAATCCACTTTTATCTGCAAAGCAGCGAGGACCGCCGTAACCAGAACATGTTCAATGCTTGATTGATTAACGGATATTGTTCTTGTAGGATGCAGAGGAGCCAGAGGAGGCTGAGAGGATGACAAGCAGGAAAGATAAATCATTGGGACTGCTCTGTCGCAAGTTTCTGGAGAGATTTCCTAATTTTCCTGACAAAGACAAGGACTACGACATCTGCCTGGACGATGTGGCTTCAGAACTGAGTGCGTACCGTAGAAGACCATAAAAAATCCAATATTCTATATAATTTTGGTCAAGTGCTACTAGGCCTATTGTAACTGTTTAGCAGTGCACATATATACACTATTGACACATACAGTATGGCCCAGGGCAGTCACAGGGCTTCATTTGACAAACGTAACACTAGAACTCCCATATCACTTAATTTGGCAGCATTTAGTTTTGGAAGTGTAATGACTAAGCTCATGTACATTTGTAGTCTTCATAACTTTGACTTTTGTCATTATTTTCTATCATATTATCTTTTTTTATTTGAGGAGTAGTTCTTCCTTTAACTCTCAGAGCAGTCATATACATGCATCTGACGTTGTAATGACAACAAAGTTGAATCTAACCAAAAACATGGTTAATAAATAATGTAGACATTTCCCCCTGTATAAAGCTTCAAAGTGCAATGTTCATGAATGGCCATTTGAGCTCAGTAAGTTTGACAGTTCTATGTAACAGCTTCAGACGAAAAATCCTTTTTCAGAATGAGTCCATAACTGCAGAGGTTGTTTTGCTCAGGCGTGGAGCGGAGGCGGATCTACGACATCATGAACGTGTTGGAGAGCCTTCACATGGTCAGCCGCTCGGCCAAGAATCGCTACATGTGGCACGGCCGCACCAACCTGTCGCAGACACTGTGTGTGCTGCAGAAGGCGGGTCAGGAGCAGGGCTACAGTCGACGGATGCAGCAACTCCGACTCGGAGGCCCACACCAGCAGCCAGAGGTGACTTCTCACTCATCCTAGCCACCATGACAGGGCCAACCGAGCTCCTTCATACTAGGGGTGTGACAATATATCAATTTTTCGATATATCGCGATACTTTTTCCCGCGATTCGATTATCGATATGCATTTTTATTTATTTTTTAAAAAAAAATGTTTTTTGAATTGGTATCAATACTTAATATATGGCTACATTATGCATCTCCATTCCATTTATCATGAAATAAAGTGTATTTTTTCCTTTATTTTTGCCATAAATTGGCATATTGTATATTTCTGACCAATATATCGATAATCGTCATATCGTCATAAAACCGTTTTCGTGATAATATCGTTATCGTGAGCTTTGTATCGTGTATCGTATCGTATCGTGAAGTACCCTTAGGTTCCCACCCCTACTTCATACTGTTGTTCCATTTATTTTTGTATAGCCCTAAATCACAGCTGTGGTTATCTCGCAAGACTTTACAAAACTGTCGACTTGAGAAATGCAATGATAAAAAAAATACATAGTCATTGTGTGGCTGACCAATGTCCATCAACACTGTCCTTAGACCCTCCTGCATCGGCAAAGAACTAAAAAAAAACAGTTTTGAGTTTTAGTTTTCCGTAAAGCTCCAAAAAGTGAGGAACCTCAGGGAGGCCCACATTGAGAGCGGGATCTGTTCCCACTGACGGACAAGCTATTATACTCTTAATATTTTGTAAAGATTAAGAATATAGACAATAGAAATATTGTGCCAACCTGGAGCAGTAATACAAAGTGTATTTAGTAATGGTGCACATACAAGGTAAACATCCATGTCACCCGTACCACCTGGCAGTGCCCTCTGAGCCGTCTGTCCCGAATGAGGAAAATACTGGACATTAAATAATAAGAATAAACAAAGACATATCTACTTCAGATATAAAACACAGGAAGTCATTATTGGATATGACTCCTCCATCTACACCTGCGGACTGCCCCGCCCGACCCGCCTGGGAGTGCTTCAGTCCTGCACCGGACCTGTCCACGTTCAGCGGCCACTGGTCCACGTTCTGTAGCTAGCTTAGGTCCTAGATCATTAGCCTGTCCGTCCAGAGGAGCGGATCCCTTTCTCAAATGGGTCTCCCTCCCTGTGGGTTTCCCTAGTTCTCCCCAAGGTTTCTCACTTTTTCCCACTGGGTTTTTTAAGAGTTTTTCCTTGTCGATGCAGGAGGCTCTTGTTGGACAGTTAGTGTCCAACAGAAAGGATTGGTGATGATCAGGACACTTTAGCATTCTACAACATGTATGGACATTTTCTTCTGTGTGTGCTTTATATTTTTCATGTGTTTTAACTGTTGATTCTCTGACCTGTGTTGGTGATTTCAATGGTTTTGTTAAGTCCTCCGAGATTACTTCTGTTGTGACCTAGGGCTATACAAGAATAAATTGCATTGTATTGTATTGTATTGTATATGTGTAACTCATGGCTGTCCTTTCCGCTGACTACAAGCAGCAACTCTTTATTTTGTTATTGTGGTAGAGTTTGGGTGTTGTCAGAGCAGAGTTTATGAACTTATTATTTTGACTTCATCAAGTTTTAGTAGCTCTTTATATGACACTTGGATGGAAGATAACAGTAAAGCTGTTACACCTTTTAATTTAATCAGTTTTAATTTAATGTAGGATGATCAAATAAAATGTTTCTATAATTCTCAAAATCTGAGTTAAATCTTTCATCCCTTAGGAGGAAGAAGAGGAGAACCAGCAGCCGCAGCAGAACAGAGAGCTGTGCTTCGTCGAGCTGCCAGGAGTCGAGTGTAAATTAGGTAAGCAGAGGCCAGAGCAGAGGCCAGAGCAGAGGCCAGAGCAGAGGCCAGAGCAGAGGCCAGAGCAGAGCTTTTTTAACACTGTCTGTTTCCGCAGCGTCTGTGAACAGCCGAAAGGACAAGTCTCTACGCGTCATGAGTCAAAAGTTTGTGATGCTGTTCCTGGTGGCATGCCCTCGTGTGGTCAGTCTGGATATTGCAGCTCAGATCCTGATTGGAGAGGACCATGGAGAAGCACAGGACAAAAACAAGTTTAAAAGTGAGTAAGGAATTACACACTCCTGTTTAGTTGAACCAAATCTAAACTGTATGCAAGCCAGTTTAAATACAGACATCTGCAAACCAATGTATTAATAAAATTAGATGGCATAGAAGGGAGCATTGATTGGTATCCATGGTGATTAGGAAAGAAAACGCAACTGCTTGTAACTATTGTTATGTGGGGGTTTTTTCGCGGTATTGAGTGAGACTGAAATACTGACGTCCTGTTTTGTGTTTGGATTCCAGCGAAAGTGCGGCGGCTGTACGACATCGCCAACGTTCTGAGGAGCCTGAAGCTGATTGAGAAAGTCCACGTGACGGAGGAGCGCGGGAGGAAACCAGCTTTCCAGTGGGTCGGACCAGAGAAGTTCCAACAGGTCCAAGGTAAAGACCAGGAATGCATTCGGGTGGGGGTTTATTTGTGTGCTTCTGACATTCCCTCACTTGAGAAGTGTGTAGATATAAAGTGTGTAGGGAGCGTGTGCAGGAGACTGGATCAGGGATTGTTGAAGTTGTCATGACAACGACTGAGGGGGCTTTCGGTTCTGTCCCAGGTGTGGAGGAGACACGCAACACTACAGCGGCGTCCTGTGGCTCGTCCAAAGAAAACTGTTCCAAGAAGCTGTTCTCGGACAAACGCAGCTTCACTCGTCACCCGTCACTCATCAAACTGGCTCGCAGCATCCAAGAGGACCGGCGCCGAGTCAGCAGCGCCCCCAGCAGCCCAGCCAAGGCCACTGCAGGTCACTCTCACAGTATTTGTGTTGTTATGGCATAGGTCTCCCACCTAAAGCTCGGGAATTACCAGTAGCCTCACCAGCCTCTTCAAAGTAGCTTCCCAAAGTATACATTTATGATTAAATTAAACAATTATTATGTTAGTTTCTTTCATGGATCTAACACTACAAAAGGCCAAAAAAAGCCACATTTTGATGACTTTATTGGAGATTATTATGTCGTGAAACAAGATTGGCCAATAGAACATACATTTGTTGTAAATACGACTAAAGCCGACTGTTCCATTGCTTTAAGATGATAAAAATGAAAGTCATTTTTATCATCTTAAAGCAGCACAACATTTGGTCGACTGTCTCCTGAAAAAAGTAGCTTTGCAAGGAAAAAGGTTGGAAAGCACCCCCTAATGTGGTCAGTGCCACATCAGGGGACAATGCCACAGTAGCTTTGCAACCTTTTTGGCAATGTGATCAGCAGGGTTTGTCCGCTTGTTATTATTTTCAATATGAACACTTGAAACATACATGACACAGGATGTTTTTAAGAATTAGACTGCAGCTCAAACAAGTTTGTTCTCTTTGTTTTACTTCTCAAAAACAATGACTTTAGACACCGTTCCAAAGTGGCAACAGCAGTTTTAAACACAGACTGAGTCCTGTGTTCTTCCATAGTGGACCCTTTTTTGAACAATATGTCACTAATTCAATTGGATTACTGATGCACAATCTTTTCTAATTGATGAGAACCAAAAAAACCTTCAACAGTTTATTTTCACGAGCTCAGGATGTGGTGTTGCTGTGTGAATAAACGTCATCATCATAATGACCTTTGACTGCTGCTGCAGGTGACTCTTTGATGGACTTCCCAAACAAAATGGCGGAACTGGCAGCCATCTGTAAACTCCAGCTGGACCATGAGTCCTCGGGGTAAGTTTTAATCTCTAAAACTTTATGTCTTCCAAGAATTAGTGCACAAATAACTCTGTTAAGATCTACAGCAACGGTCTCAAACATGCTGAAATGTTTTTTGTGGCCTCCTAGTGGACATTAAACCCTAGATTCTGTACTAATATGGTTATGCATATTTATATAATGTTTTAAAGCTAATTTTATCAGGAAAACAACCATGTTATGTACATAAACATTGAACAACAAAGTGATCATTATGTCTACAAAACAAAGTCTTGTTGCTTTACGTCCAGTTTTGTTTCAATCCAAGCAGCTGGACTAATTTTGTGCATAAAAATATATAGATAACATATCAAACTCATATTCTAATAATTACAAAAGTAATTATTTGTTTAAAAAAAAAAACCTTATGATTATATGGAGATTGATTCTTGGTTTTCCTGTTTTTGTCCTTGTTAAAAGCCCAAACGGTTACTTCCTCTGCTGATGTTAAAGAGTGAGAAGATGCACGGTTTGAAATGTAGCCGTATATTTTTCCAGGAGCTAAAGTGCGTGTGCAATTTTTGTTGTTTGATTCTATCTCTGTGTGTACATTTCTTTACTCTGATGTTCATATATTTTACACACACAAACACCTGATAAACGTACCTCTTAAATGGCCCAGCTTCACCCAGACTTGACCTCATGCGACCCTCAGATATATTGAATTTGCGACCTCTGATCTATAGCGTTTGTTATTACTTTAGTCATTCATTTTTGAACAACATGAAATCCATCACAAGGGCCACAAATGTCTGCCATCATTTTCCTTGTATTTTGTCTCTTGGATATCTATAGTTAGTTTTTCATGTTGTTTCATCTGTCCCTGTGGTGTTTCAGGTCGAAAGGGTCTGAAACCAGCCGTCCCTCGCTGCCTCGCACCCCCGTGACCCCCCTCACGCCTGTGCTGTTACCGCGGCAGCAGCAGGACTCCGGGGGCGGAGCTTATGTGGTGTACGCTCCTCCATGTGTGCGTCCTCAGCCCACCAGCCTGGCCGTGCGCTCCATGACCTTCGACAGTCCCACAGGAGTGAAGCGTCCCGGGGCAGAGGGCCAGACCGAGGCCAGTCCCAGGAAGAGGAGGAGGGAATGCAAGGTCAGCCAACCTCTGCTGCATCTTCTCCTGTGACTCACATCACTGTATACAAGACCAGTTTTAGCAAATAACAACCTAATTCAGTTGAAATTAAGCGTTTAATTCTATAATATCTCTATTTCTGAATGTTAATCTCCTGTAAGTAGGTTAGTACATTGTTCTGGGTCTCACAAAACTGAACCAGAGCAGAGAACATTTTCAGAATCGAGCTAAACACACCCGAGGGAAACCGCTAAAATCCTGTACAGTAGGTGATGACTGTGCGTTTGTGAGTGTGAATCTTGGACTACAGATACAAATCGGCCACATAGGAGTCTGGTGTATTTACAGCTGCCGTTACAGCTACAGCCATTCATGAATACGCACCGTCTCATCCAAATAAAACAAATAAATAAAGTACAAAATACGGAGGGAAGTAGCATCATGGCTACAGACACTGAGGGAGTCCACAGAGCTGTTCCTCTCACTCCTGGTCAGGGATCTCTCCTTGACATCAGACATGTTGTTTTAACATCTTAAACCCATATTTCTAAAGTCTCAGTTCTTTCTGTTGTGTAGGATGCGTCTCCTAAACTGGGGGAGATCCTCCAGAATCGTCTGAAGTCGCGCTCTCTTTACTCCAGTCGTCCACCTCTGCGGGCGCTGCACCTGGATCCAGAGTTCCAAAGTTCCACCAATCTGAGCTCAAGACACAGCCCCGCCTCTGCAGCAGCAGCCAATCACAGAGCAGGAAGGAGCACAGTGGACAAAGAGGAGAGCGAAGGATCAACACCGGTCAGAGCGGTTCCTTTGACGCCTACAGCTGTCCATACAGAGGTACACACAGAGCTACACTCCGGTATATTATGGTGAATGTGTTTATAAACTTTAATCTTTGTTCTCCCGCCCTTTAACTGGTGTTTAAACATAGATGAAAGTATGAATGTAAAATACTGATGAATGTGTTGTTGTGTTGTCAGACTTTGGTTCCGGCCGGGTACCTGATCCCTCTGCCTCAGTCTGCGCTCGCCTTTAAAGACCTGCACAGCTCCACAGACGCTCAGCCTGTGCCCACTGTGCTGTTCCACACTCCCACAGCAGGTCAGTCTGATGACACACACTCTGACATATGTACACACACTATGGAGTGTTACCATTGAAACAAATTGTTTACTGTCAGCAGTTAGCATTATGGGGCGTTCACATCGCCGACGCATCAATGTGCGTATATCTGGCATAAAAGGCAAGGTGGAAGAAGGGCTGGGCAATAAATCGAATTTAGGCAATTAATCGGCTTTTTAAAAATCGTATGTGTGAAAAATGTTTAAATCGTTAAATCGAATGATGGATATTGTGAGAGTTCCAGCAGCACATTAATTATATTTGCAATATCAGCACAGTCTGTGCAAGACTTTCATAATATGTATTGGGGGAAACAAGAATAGTTTTGAAACTTTAATATTCAGCGGAAAGAACAAAAAATATATTTAATCGCCCAGCCCTAGGTGGGAGTGGTGGTCTCTGTCTTGAGATTCTCCAGTGACTTCAGACCACTTGGCTTCTCTCTGATTAGTTGCCGTACGTGGAGCAAGGAAGTTGAGTGATTCTCACTTCCTGCGTTTGCCGCATGCGTCTAGTTACAGTACCCACCGCCACTGCCGTGCCATTCCTTTTAATATTCACTTTCACTTCTCGTTTCATGTTTAAGAATGTAAACTGGTATTTTCAGGCTCCATATCCATGATGCACCAGGAGAGGACCCCGACACACATGAGCAGGGCCTCCCCCCTCTCCCCCTTCTCCACTCCTCGCACCCAGAGCCCTAGTCCGGCCATCCTCAACTTCACTTTGCAAAACCTGGGGCTGATCTCGGCACACAGCCCCGTCCCGGTCCCAGTGCCGGTGCAGGGCAGGGCTGGGGTGGGCTGCAGTCCCCAGGCCGCAGTCTCTCTCCCACACAGGGGGGGGATGCTCTTCCTCAGACCGGTGTCACCCCTGCAGCTGCACAGCACAAACGGAGGACACATGGCCCTCTTCAGCCTGCAGCAGGTCAGCTCTTCTCACCGACTCAGGCCTTTAAACACCAGCTGCTTTTACAAAAAACTCGATCATATATGCCTGATCTTACAATGTGAACGTAATGTGTTCATCGGCCTCACAAGCCTGGAGTCTCGGTTCGATACGTCTTTTGACATTAGGGTCAGGCTTTCGGTTCAATACATTTAACGGAATTACCGGACTATAAGTCGGAAATTAGGGGTTTGTGTTACTCTATTATTTCACCTTCATGTGAGAGGCCTGTTCAGAGAATATTTATGTTTTAATGCTTTTGAATTATATGAGGGACATGAATTGTAATATATCGCAGAATATACTTGCTGTTTTGTAATACTTGCTGTATTGCAACATGTTAAGAATCTCAAAACTGCCCAAATATCGCAATACTATCAAATGGTCACATTTTTGCTACTTCCTGCTCCTGCTGACGCCACAGACTCATGTGGAGAGCCTGTTCTATCAATGTTTCCATAACCTGAATGCTTCTAAATCCACTCTGTCCTGTTTCAGCCTGGGCCGCTGACCCCGACCTCGTCTCCCGGTTTCTTCCACACGCCGGTCTCCATGACTACACTGTCCTCCACCTCCAGCGTCGCCAATGGCAACGGCAGCACGTTTGTGGCTCAGCGGAAACTGGACGTCGGCTCTGAAGACTCCTGACCCGAGGGAACCAGTGAAGAAGGCTGTTCTGTCAGTGGTTTTAGTGATGCAGAAGTTAGTCTCAAACATAAATTTAGGCTGAATGAATGTCGACAGAATTTTTCCTTTGAAATTATTATTTAAATTCAGTTCAGCACAAAAAAGTGCTATACATTTCTAAATGTCTAAAATTGTGTAAAACATGCAATAATGTGATAATCTTGTTTCAAATGTAAATTTTTGAGCTCATTTAGAAGTACGGTGGTCCCTGGTTGTAGTTGTAAAACCCCTCACACACTTTATACACTTTTCTAACCACCTGAACTCACGACTGCTGAAGTGCGATCGGAGAGATATCAAACCTGTTGGTTGTAGGTCTGACCGCAGCTGCCAAAAGCCAAGAATACACTGTAAAATACAACTACAGGAGACCAAGCTGAGGGGCAGATTCAGGACTGAGGGCTACAGGAGGACCACCAGAGTCTTCTGAACTAATCACAGCGATGCACTCGGGCCACAAAAGTTTACTTCTGACTTACTATAAATGTAACTGTCATGTAATACTTGCAGTTTAATGTTATTGAAGTATACACACGGCGCCATATCAAGGGACCACTGTACCACAAAATTGGGTTTCTGATAAATTACTGAAAATAGTATGACACTGATCTAAAAAAAAAAAAAAAAACACATAAAGCTAACTAACTCTTTACAGACCTGACTCCGGTCCCTTGTTTCCTTTCTGTAATCTTCCACAGTTCTGCATTAAATGGATCTATGTAGCAACCGAATGATGCTACCTCCAAAAAGTTACGTAGTGATGCTTTAAATGTAGACCTATCTTTTTTGCCTTTAGTCACACTCATGAAACAGTCCACAGTTAAACATTAAACTATTCTTAAACCTGGTTTCTCTATGCAGGTCTCAATAGTCCTGTTTCCACCCGCCCTACTCTACCTGGTTGTGTTTCCATTATCTGTGTCCTACCAGCAAACTACCCACTACAAACCAGTACCATGGCTTCCAGCAGCACTCTGGCCAATCTTCTTTACATAACCCCCTTTTCCCACCAGCTCTATCTGACTGTACTCTGCTCTACTCTGTCTCTATTGGGAGCGTTTCCATTGACCCTGTTAAACCGCTACCAGGTACTTTCTTAGTGCGTTCTTGGCCCTGAGTGCTGGTGAAAGCCATGGTTACCAATAGGGCTGGGCAATATGGGGTAAAAAAATATATATATCTTGACATACAATATATATCCCGTCAAGTGTTTCTGTCTCAATTTGTTTATTCTGTCCGCACGAAATAATAATTTGTAAACTTGTATAGTGCATATAGGAACCAAGTGCTTCTGCAACATTTAAGAAAACAAAAATCCCTGATTACAGCTCGCTCTGGATAGAACCACGGCCAAGCAGGTATAAGAGAGGAGCCGAGTAGGGCTGGTGAAAACAGGGCTACACAGTCTAGTCAAAAATAGCCTGGCCTTAGCTATCAGATGTAAACTCCGGTCAATTATCATTTCCCCAAGTATGAAATGAAATGAGTATGATGGTGCCGTAAGACCAGGCTCTTTTTATAAATATTTTAGCTTTGGGATGTCATAAACTGCAGTCCGGAACAATCTTTAGTTTAGAGCTCTTCAGTCTTGTTCACAGGATTCCTCTCGTTCCGATTCTAGTTTTCTCAAAAGGGCTTTATCTTCATGTTTCATTCAGACTGTGAATTTTGCCGCTAATGCCACATGTTGAATCAAAGGGGCTTTTACAAAATAATTATAATTTAGGCATTCTAATGAACTATCAATTATGTTTTCCTTTTGGTGATCTTTGTACATGGTTTGATGTTGTGTTTTCAGTGAGCTGGAGTTGCACATATGTTCAAAATGTGAATAGTTATGAAAATAAGATTCTGTCTAATTTATGAAAGACTTAATGATTTAAAACAGTTCTAATGTAAATATTAAATGAATAAATGGTTTTGTTAAGAAAAATACTTGTCATGTTTAGTTTATTTTTTATTTTATTTTTACAATAGAACATTTAATTGATCAGTCATAAATGTCTTAGTGTCTTAGATTAGTTTAGTTTAGTTTAGTTTTTTCACCTGGGAACTCTTAATTCACTTTTGTAATAGACCAAATTCATCCATATCCCTGTATTCTATGTGCTTAAAAATACAGGTGCACTTTATTTATCCCCGTAGGGCAATTCATCCTGCACCTGCATTTGCCCCATCCTGACGGGGCAGGAGCAGTGGTCGCCGCAGTACAGTGCCCAGGGAACCAATCTCCAGATGTTGATGCTCGGCTTGTCCAGGATTACCAGAGCTGCAGGATTTTACCTATTGTGCATGTTTTTAGCTGTAGGGGAAACCGGAGTACCCGGAGGAAACCTACGCAGGCACGGGGAGATCATGCAAACTCCACTCAGAAAGGGCCTGTATTCTGACACGAAGTTGTCTGAACGGTCGACTCACAAGGGGGTGTGGTAGGCCATATATTTCAATAATTCATAAAACCTTACAGAAAATCACTTTTTTATTGAATTTGAGAATTTTGTTTGATCTGATTGTGGTATTTACTTTGCTATTCAATCTTCAGAGATTTGGCTTTGTATTTTTATAAAGAAACAATATAATTAGTCTATTAAGTCATCGTTTAGTTGTCTAAACAGCTGGACACAGCCAGAGTCCTGTGACCTAAAGTGACCAATGAGTAAAATATTGCCTCTTACTCACCCCAAACTGTATGTGGAGCCTGCATGCTGCCCCTGGTGGTGATGGTGGGTACATGCAGGCGTGGTCAGAGGATATTTTGGGCAATGCTTTCATTGTCTGCTGATGGAGCCGTACTTAAGAGCTTCTCCCTGCACTCCACATGGAGAGGACCAAAACCCAGACCCCTCAAGACCTTACCCCCTGCTCTCCACGCCACAGGGACAGGACCCAGACCCAGCTGCACTAAGGTCAGTGCACTCTTTTTGTTCTCGACATTCACCTTCTGTGATGTTTTGTGGGAATTTGATTTCTGATTCAGATGAGAAGTCTGATTGATTTATGCTGAGATACACATAATTCCATGAGTCATGGTCTGGTTTTGGATTAAATTAAGATTTAACCAGGACTATAGGCACTAACCCAGATCACAGTTGCAGACTTCTCAAACAAGCAATTATTGGTATTAAGTCAACTGTATCCATTGGAGAAAGCCTTTATAGCACTAACAGATGACTGGACCCTTTGTGAAGCTGAAGCCCTGTAGTTACACTAAACTATAAGTGCACCTTATAGAGTAGAAAGGGACCACTTTAAAACACATTTCTTGATACATTTTCAACAACATCAGAATAACTTGAGGCCCAATAAACAGTATTTATTATGTTGAGTTTAATAAACAGTTAATTGCAACAACAAAAAAATAGCATTCATAAATGTTCGCATGTGGCCTCCACTCTTTAGTAAAACTTATCTTTTATTACAGAGTAAGATGGTAGGGTTAGGGTTAAGTGGGTTCTGAGGAAATTGTTAAGGTTAGGGTAAAGGGGTCTGATAAGATGGTAAAGGTTAGGGTTAAGGTAAGGATTAAGCGGTCTGAGTAAGATGGTTAAGGTTAGGGTTAAGGCGGTCTGAGTAAGATGGTTATGGTTAGGTTTAAGGCGGTCCTGAGTAAGATGTTAGGGTTAAGGTTAAGGCGGTCTGAGTAAGATGTTAAGGTTTTGATTAAGGTTAAGGCGTTCTGAGTAAGATGGTTGAGGTTAGGTTTAAGGCGGTCTGAGTAAGGATGGTTAAGGTTAGTGTTAAGGCGGTCTGAGTAAGATGGTTAGGGGTTAGGGTTAAGGCGGTCTGAGTAAGATGGTTAAGGTTTGAGTTAAGGTTAAGGCGGTCTGAGTAAGATGGTTGAGTTAGGGTTAAGGCGGTCTGAGTAAAGATGTTAGTTAGTTTAAGGCGGTCTGAGTAAGATGGTTAGGGTTAAGGTTAAGGCGGTCTGAGTACGATGGTTAAGGTTTGAGTTAAGGTTAAGGTGGGTCGGAGTAAGATGGTTTAAGGTAGTCCTGAGTAAGAAGGTAGGGTTCATGGTTTAGCTGTTGATTGACTGACTTGTGTTGGTGGATTTCAATGGTGTTGTATGTCCTCTAATGCCTTCTTTGTGACCTAGGCTATACAGAATCAATTGTATTGTATGTAAGTATGATGGGTAAGGTTAGGTTAAGGCGGGTCCTGAGTAAGATAGTTAGAGGTTAAGGGGGTATTAAGGCGGTCATGAGTTAGATGTTAGGGTTAGGGTTAAGGGTGGGTCCTGAGTAAAGATGGTGAAGTTCGGGTTAAGGTGGTCTGAGTAAGATGTTAAGGTTTTAGGGTTAGGGTGGTCTGAGTAAGATGTAAGGTTAGGGTTAAGGTGGGCTGATGAGATGGTTTAGAGGTTAGGTTAAAGCGGCACTCACTGACTTTATTTTTGTATTCTTTACGGAACAGCTATCCCATGCCATGCAAGTGCATTGGGATTATTCTCCCTTTTGAAGAATAGTACGCAGATTTGGGCTGGCGTGACATTTATTTTAGATCGAGTTTTGATGAACAAGAAGAGAATGTGTTTCGGGTCGCAGAATGTGACCAATCACAGCGGACCACTGGCCCCCACTTTCACGTGAGAAATCTACAGGTCAGTTAGCACAGAAGGCTGAGTTAGCACGGCAAAGAAAACAAACAAGTGGCGGAGCTAACTGAAGCTTCCTCGCTTCGTCCACGGTTACTGCATACACAGCGAGACAAGCCATCCAAATGAAAGTCTCCGTTCCTACCGCGCCATTCCACGGTTCTAATCGTCTATGGTCAAAACGCCATCCACGTGCAATCCATGTCCATCGTATTTATCATATTGGGAGACGCTAGGCGTCCGGTCCCAACAGTGGGATGTGTGTGGTGGGGGTTCGATAGCTTCGTGGGTGCGGGGAGGGAGCATAAAGAGAGAGGCCAGCGAGTCTGCGCTTCAAAATCCCAAAGTCATAGTGCAGCTTTAAAAA